TCAACATTGGTATTATAATGCCCATTTTACAGAAAAGAAAGCAAGGAGCCAACCACAATCAGCAGATCTAGGATATAGAATCAGTGTTTGTTTGGCTCCAGAGCCAACACTTTTTCTATTTTACTACATTGCTTCACTTTTACTATCCTCACACTTGCTCTGTGTCTTAGTCATCTAGTGCTGCTATAATAGAAATACCACAAGTAGATGGTTTTAATGAAGAGAAGTTTATTTCCTCATAATCAAAGTAGGCTAAAAGTCCAAATTCAGGGCATCAGCTCCAGGGGAAGGCTTTCTCTCTCTCGGCCTTCTCATCAGTGTTCCCCCGGACTAGGAGCTTCTTGGCACAGGGACCTCGGTCCAAAGGATGCGCTCTGCTACCGGCACTGCTTTCTTGATGGTATGAGGCCTGCCTGTCTCACTGCTCACTTCTGTCTTTTATATCTCAAGAGATTGCCTCAGGACACAATCCAGTCGTGTAGATCAGGTCCTGCCTCACTAACACAACTGCCACCCACCCTCCCTCACTAACATCATAGAGGCAGGTTTACAACATACAGGAAAATCAGAGTACCAGGAATCATGGCCTAGCCAAACTGATACACACATTTTTTGGGGGGACATAATTCAAACCATGACATTCCACCCTTTGGCCCCCCAAAAATCATATCCTTGCAACATGGAAAACATACTCAGCCCATCATATCATAGCAAAAGTCTTAACTCCAAGTCCAAAATCCAAAAATTCCTCTTCATCTGTGAAATCTAGAATACAAATTATCTGCTTCCAAAGGTACAATGGCAGAACAGGCATAAGCTAGACATTTCCATTACAAATGGGAGAAACTAGAGGAAAAGAAGTGATAACAGGCACCAAGCAAGTCAGCAGAACACATTACATTAGCCCTCAAGGCTTTGAAAATAATCTTTTGTTCTCTGAGACAATTTACACAATAGCCCTGCCCTCCAGACTCTAGGTATTGGCCACAGCCTCTGGATTTTGAGTGGAGGAGGCCCCTCCGCCCTGGGCTTCAGCTCCGCCTTCCAGGCCCACTGGGACAGCAACTCTGCTCCCTAGGCTTAGGCACACCATTCTCCTAGTCCATTGGAGTGACAACTCCACCCTTAGAAACACCAGAGGCCATGGCTCCACCCTTTGAAACCCTGAGGTCATGGCCATACCTTCTGAGGCTGAAGCAGCTCGGCTTCTTGTGTCCCTTGTCTCTTCAGCTTCTGCTTCCTATGGCCTCTCGGCCCTTGGGCCTCACGCCCGCATCTGCCCTGCTGGGGCAAGTGTTTCAAAGCTCAGTAGCTCCACCGGTAAGTGCCCGGAGGCACCCCACTCCTCCAGGAAGCCTTCTGCGCACAGGCACTCAGCTCCCTCGCTCCGTGGGTTGGCAAGCCTAGCTCCACCTATAAGTGCCCAGAGGTACCCCACTCCACCAGGAAGCCTCCTGCTCACAGGCATTCAGCTCTCTCGCTCCGTGGGTCAGCTCTAGCGCTGGCTTGCACCAGTCTCCTGGTTCTCTGTTGGTTCTCTGCTACTGCTGGTCCTCTGTCACTGCCGCACGTCTATCCATTCACAGTTTTATAACCGCTTCCACATTTTAGGTATCTATTAGAGCAGCACCCCACGCTCTCGGTACCAAATTCTGTCTCAGTCATCTAGTGCTGCTACAACAGAAATACCACAAGTAGATGGTTTTAATGAAGAGAAGTTTATTTCCTCATAGTCAAAGTAGGCTAAAAGTCCAAATTCAGGGCATCAGCTCCAGGGGAAGGCTTTCTCTCTCTTGGCCTTCTCATCAGTGTTCCCCCAGACTAGGAGCTTCTCGGTGCAGGGACCTTGGTCCAAAGGACGCACTCTGCTACTGGCACTGCTTTCTTGATGGTATGAGGCCCCCCTGTCTCACTGCTCACTTCGGTCTTTTATATCTCAAGAGATTGCCTCAGGACACAATCCAGTCTTGTAGATCAGTCCTGCCTTACTAACACAACTGCCATCCATCCTCCCTCATTAACATCATAGAGGCAGGTTTACAACATACAGGATAATCACACAGTACCAGAAATCATGGCCTAGCCAAATTGATACACACATTTTTTGGAGGACATAATTCAAACCATGACACTCTGTAAAGTGGACTGTGAGCTCCATGAGGATAAGGGCTGAGTATCTGTCCTGCTCATCACTGCATCTGATGATCAATAAATATTTGTTAAATGAATAAATGGAACAGCTGAGGCCTTGGGATATGAAGGAATTTATCCAAGATTACACAGCTACTATTTGGCAAGGCCAAGTTTTCTGATTCCACTATAAACTGACTAAACCTATAGTATGCTGAGCTGTGTGTGTCTTGGGGGAGAAGGTATGGTAATAAGACGACAAACAGGTGAAATACCATAAGAATTTTTGTATAAATGCTGAAATCCTACATGAGTGAAGGTAAGTCTAAAGACAGTGGCTGGGAAGGGTGAATTTAGGCCGTTGGGAAGAAGATAAAAGATACGAATTGAAGACGATGCAGTAAGTGTGGCTGGGTCAGGGAATAGTCTGGGCAAAGGCCAAAGTACATTGTATTCAGGGGAATAGAGCCAGCCCCCAAATACCATGCCATCAGTCACACGGCGATGTGGGTACATGCCAATCACAGCTTTGCCTATTAATCGAAGCAGAATACACGATTCCATGTGGTGAAGGACTTCTGGGCCAAATCAACAGAGATTCTACTTGCCTGAAACCTAACTATCTGCCAAACTCTCCCAACATACTGGCTGGACATCCAGACTGGAAATGAAAAACTCAAGAATAATGAGAAGGCCTCGTGGTGGGAGGTGGGGAGATTGGAAGAGAGACTCACCACAGAGTCTACAGCCAGACTGGTTGCCCTTTGCCAGCACAATCCCCTTCTAGGGAAATGAAAATGTTTTCACAGGATGCTCAGATTAGAAGCCAAACCAGAGGCTCTCCAGGTAACACAGACAAGAAAAGGTATACTCCTCTGCAATTTTAATACACTCCTGTAAGTTTCCAAGAGAAAGCCTTCAGATTTAGGGTTACCCGTCCTGGCAACTCCTATGTCTAAAGGCAAAGACCTTCTCATAGTATCCGACTTAGAGGGACCTGAAGCAGCAGGACAATTGCTGATGGCAGTTCCATCACATAGCCCTGTTAAATCTAGGAATTACACTGAAAGAATAAGTATATTCCGTCTTGATAAATTTCAGAATCACACCCATTTGTATCCCCAGCACCTATCAGAATGCCTGCAAAACAAAGGGAAACTGATGGTAGGTGAATCCTTGGACATATAGCAAAATAGATCTAAAAATCTGTTTTCATTGGACTCTTTGGGCTTACATCATCAGTATTTGACAGTGCAAGAAAATGAGACATCTTCCCAAGGAAATATGAACCAACAAATTGGAGATTTACTGAAATAATAGTGACCATTTAGTAAGTACCTATTATGTGTCAGATGCCATATCTCAATTTAATCCACATCATAACCCTTGAGGAAACTGAAGCTCAGTGAGGTGAAGTCACTTCCTCCAGGGACAATAGCTGGTAAATGACAGAGAATTGATCTGGGATTTAATCCAGACCTGTCTGACTCCAAAACCTGTGTGTGCTCTTATCACTACCAAAAAAACCCCAAAACAAAACAGACAAACAAAAAAAAAAACCCATTGCTGTCTAGTCAATTCTGACTCACAGTGACCCTGCAAGACAGAGTAGAACTGCCTCACAGGGTTGACCTTTTGATTAGCAAGCCAAGCTCTTAACCACTGAGCCATCAGGGCTCCCTTTTCACTACACTTCCTTTAAAAAAAAAAATCCATTACTGTCTACGGAAAGCCCTGCAATCTCTTTCTGTATTATTGTTAAACTAGAAAGTTAAAGACATAGTCACTTACAGACCAAACAGTACTGACCAAGCACACAGAATTCCAGATCTAAATTCTGGATTACACTCTCCTCACTATTACTTGTTACTTACACTCTTACTTACAATGTAAATTCGGAACTTGAACTCAAACAGGAAATTCTACACTAGTTAAACAAAAACAACAAGGAAGATCCTCACATACCCTTCTCAGAAACTCTAGATATTGGGTATCTTCAAGATAAAGATTTCTAATGGAAATAGGGTCTCTGCCTAGCTCATTTACACGGAATTTAACATCCAGGGAGCCAAGGTCTGGGATTTTTTCTTCAGTTCCTGGCCAAGGGCCAGGAAAACAGAGCAAGCCAGCCAGAGAGGTCCATACTACCAAAGACACCAAAGTGAGGTACTAAGTGACAGGAAGCTGGTGTGGGCTTGATGGTATGCGTCCTAGATTTAAAGGCACATTATTATGACTGACTTGTGAAGGTGGGAGGTTTACCTAATTGCCCAGAAAATATGACGCTGTATTTGAAATTTCAGAGTGAAGTAAGAAAGAAATGAAGAAGTCAAGGTTAAGGAGATGGAGTAACTGAACAGGCGAGTTCAGGAATTGCTGAGATCACAGAAGACAGATCGAGAGGGAATGGACAAGAAATGCCTCTGTATCTGAGATACAGGGTAAGATCCACAACAAAGGGGAACAGAATCCTTCCCAAAGGTAGAGAGGTGTTAAGGCGTTAAGCGACAGAAGGAATTCCATTTCTGAAAAGAAAAGGTTAGGAAGAAAAGAGGGCTGCATCTGAAAAAAGGGGTCCCTGAAGAATACAGTAGTAACTCAATAAAGGGGGAGGGGAGGCTTAAACGTGTGTATGTGTGTGTGTGTGTGTGTGCGCGCGTGCGCGTGTGCGTGTGTCTGTGTGTCTGTGTGTGTGCGTGTGTGCGTGTGTGCGTGTGTGTGTGTGTGTGTATGAGTGAGTGTAGCCAAAGGAAACTCCCCAAAAGGAAATGCATGTAAGGGCTCCGCGCCAGGAAAAGCGATCCAGAGGACTGTAGGATGGAGGCTCCCATACCGAGGTGTCCTGCAGGAGACCAGAACCGCAGACTCACCTCGGCCGTAGCCCTGCGTGTGCTTGGCGAAGCTCCTCACCACAGCCTCCACCGCTTCCCGCAGCACCGCGGGGCTGCCGGCGGCGCCTGGGGGCAGGGGCAGCCCAGGGCCCCCAGACAGGAGCAGCGGGGGCGGGGCAGGGGGCGGCGGGGCCGGCGGAGGGCCCGCTGGGGGTGTGGTGGCGACAGCCGCGGCCCCGGTCACTCCGGGCCTCAGCGCTCGCAGAGTGCCCCTCCCGCCGGTGCCCACCCCAGGCTGCAGCCTCTGTGCTCGCATCGTCTCCATCTCGGCCTCCGATGGAGTAGACGCCGGGAGCCTGCCAGCCTGGCGAGTTAACCGTCTCACCACCCCAGCCAGCAAAGGGACGGAGGGCGGTGTCGCGGCCCAGCCGTCAGTCAAGCGGGGGCGGGGACAAGGCAGATCCTGTGCCAATCACTGGAAGAGGGGGAGGGAGCTGGCGGGCTCCAGCTCCGCCATGGGCAAATTATTGAGGAGGGCGGAGGTTCTGAGCAACCAATTGCAAACAGAAAAAGCGGTATTCTCCAAAAGGGAGAAGCATTGCTAGGGTGCGTCTCCAGAAGTCCTGTGGTGAGTACAAGAAAAGGGGCCAGACTCCTCGGGCGGGGCTTGAAGGAAAAATAGGACTGGATCCAACACGACTGGGAGAAGCGTAGACAGTGAGAGGATTTTTATAAATCACTGGTCTGAAAACTTCGTTTTAAAATGTAAATGAGGAAACTGTAGCTCTGATAAGTGATGTGACTTGTCCAAGATCGCATACAATTGGTGGTAGAGCCAAAATAAGGAAAGATACTGACATTTAATGAGCATATATTAAATGTCAGACTATGCAGTTTACTTTGCTGCGATGTCTTAGTTAATAATCACAACCACTAACTAGATTTTATTATTTGATGGCTAAGGAAATAAACATTCAGAGGGGCTAAATTGCCCACATTAAATAGCTAGGAAATGACAAAGGAGGGTTCAGACAAAGATCTTTTGACTCCCAGTATTTTGATCTTTTCGCATGCCACATTGTTGGGTAATTTTCTTTTTTCACCTATTCTAAGGAGCCCTGGTGGTGCAGTGATTAAGCGCTCAGCTGTTAACTAAAAGACAGCGGTTCAAACCCACCATTTTCTCTGTGGGGGAAAGATGTGGCAGTTTGCTTCCATAAAGATTACAGCCTGGGAAATCCTATGGGGCAGTTCTGCTCTGTCCTATAGGGTTGTTCTGAGTTGGAATCGACTTGATGGCAATGGGTTTTAAGTAATCAACAGTAGAATGGACAATTCCCTTTACCTCCCATTAGAATGAGGAAGAATTAGAATATATGCAAAAAAAAAAAAAAAAAAAAACCAAAAAAAACACCCAAAGAGGTCCAAGGGGTAGATTAAGACAGGCACCCTTGTTTATAGAAACTGTCAGGCTGGGTTCCCTCTGATTACTATTACACACACACACACACACATTACACATGCTTTGTCAGCTGACCAACATGTCATTTTTACTTAGGTGAGGTTATACTAATTTGTCTCTTCTCTCTGCCCCTTACAGTGGCTCAGAAACAAAGGAATGGAAAATAGAGGCCAAAAGTAGAATAGGTGAGACACACCTGGTGAAATGGAAGTTAACTGCAAGGGAAAACCTCAAGTGGTCAAAAAGGAACAGTTAATCTACTGGGATATATCTGCTAAGGGACTCTTTGTAGGAATCTAAGCTTAAAAGTTTGAGGATGGACATAAGAGAGACTGCGGGAAAGAAAAGCCTGCCAAATGCCTTAAAACCCTCAGGAGACGAGACACTTACCTTTTCTTCTACAACCACAGTTAGTTGGTCTCCTGGAAAGAAGGTGGCTGAAGCCCCTAAGTATCCCCTACAAAGTTGATAGCTATAGTCAGCACCATCTTCCCTTCCCATTCCTCATTCCCCTCCCCCCCCCACACACCCTGCATGCAGAAGAGTGACAAAACAGAGACTTCTGAATACATTTATTTGATATGTCAAGTAGAGAGAGGAGTGATTTTGTGTTACTCCCCACTTCTACCTGGGGGAGTGTTCATAAGCTCAGAGAGAACAGAAGAGCAACTTAGAGCCCATGACCCATCCCCTGGAAAATGAGACAATCTGCTGTAATGGACTGGCTGGTGGAATGGCGTGTGAATAAAAAGTGGGAAGTTGAGAAGGGAAGCTGAGAGCAGGAGGGCAGCAGCAGAACTGAGACTGGGGGTTGCTCAGGAAACCCCCAAGAAGAGTGAAGAGGAAGATATCCTGAAAAGTGGGACTGGAAGCAGAGTGTGAACAAGGGGCCCGGCCTGGAGAGAGAGGCAAGACCTGTAGAACAGTGTGGGACATTCATGAAGAGGGTAGTGTGTGCAAAATCATGATGGGGCCTGTGTTGTGGGGCACACATGGAAAGCAAGGGATTGCTATTTAGGTGAAGTTTTCAGCAGGAGGGCAAAGAGATCAGGGACTACCCCAAAGAAGGGGTTACCTACTGCTTCTGAACAAATGCAGTTAAGTTTGGGGCCCATTTGGAGCGCCAGCACAAGCGACCCTGTGTATTTACTGGTGTACCACATCTGTGGGTACACAAGTAATCCCACATGCATGTAAAGTGATCAGGGCATGAATGCATGTGTTTGTATGCCCAGCGAATAGAGAATTTACCCTTCCCTGCAAGTAAGAGGACTGTGCTTGTGGACACGTTTACCCATGTGTGCATGTACTGTGCCCATGAGCACATCCAAGAGACCCCTATGTGCATGGTGTGTGTGAGTTGGTTCCCCCTCCTGTCCCATCAAGGCCCTGATACCTACCCTCCCTGGCTCCTCTCCCTCCTGTCAGCGCCCTGGCTCCCCCGGCCCACCTAGACTCTGGAAACCCCCTAGCAAGCGGATTTGCTCAGTCTGCATGGAATGGCGCCTCACCAACTTGCGCTTGGTCCTGGGAGAACCTGGCACCCCTGCTTGGGGAGGGGCGGGCAGCGAAGGCGCCCGACCTCCGGGTTGGGGGCGAATGTCGGGGATGGGAGGGTGGGGGCTGACGTTGAGTGGGGGCAGGAAGCCGGGCCGCGTTTGAGCGATGTGGTCCAGAAGCAACGTCCCCGAGCCCCTCCGCTCCAGCAGCCCAGGACTCCGTCTTCGCCCGCTCAGCGGAGATACAGCCCCTGGCAAACTCTCCTGGGACTGGCGCGGAGAGGGAGCCGAGCTGGCTGGAGGGAGGGTCAGCGGGGAGGCGCTGTATCGGCGGCGCTCCAGGGACAGGCGGCTAGACTCTGGAGAGTCGGGGCAAAGATGTCCGGGGGTGTCGAGCTCCACCGGCTCCATGCGGCTCAGTTTCTGCCTCAATCCTGAAGGGGGACCAGACTCCTGAGCCTCTGGCGCTGTGTTTCTGCGAGAGAGAGCCCCGCCTCCCGTCACTTTCTCCGCCCACGGGGGCGGATCCTCCGGGCCTTCGGTGCTGTGACGTCGAGAAAGACGTGGTCGACCCGTCAGCGTCAGGCCGTTGAACTCAGCGGTCAGGCGTTCAACCCCTGGTCTCCCCTCGGCCGGCGGGACTGGTTGGGGAGGGGCCGCTAGGCCCCAGGGCTCAGAGTTGAGCCTTTTGAGTGGTTTTGGGGGGTGACGGGGTGGCTTGGGGAGAGGTTCAGAAGGGGAGGGGTCATCGGGAGGCTTAGGAAGAGGGAATTCAAATACGTCCCGCTTCTCTTCTTCCTCTTGGGCGCAGGGGGATAACAACCCCCGCCCCCCTCCTCCAGCAGTCTGCAGTTGGATTTCCGAAGGCGACGTGCAAGCCCCCGGGCTAGGAGGGACGGGAGCAGGTTCCTCCACCCCCGGGGACGGTGGAGAATTGAGATACTGCCGGGTCTTCTTGGTGCCCGAGGGCGAGGTGTCGGTGGTGATGATGATAACCTCCGTGCCCTTGGCCTTGCAGGCATCCAGCAGCGTGGCAAGCGTCTCGCGGTCCCCGCGGTCCAGTGCGTGGACAAGCGCCGAGGCGCCTGCGTGATCTCGGACGGAGGGGTCTGCGCCGTGGGCCAGGAGCAGCGAGGCCACGGCGGCGCCCCCACCCCCCGCGCAAGCGTGCATAAGCGCTGTGCGCCCGAGGCGGTCTGCGATGTTGGGGTCTGCGCCTTGCTCCAGGAGGTAGCGTACCATGCGCGCCTTGTTCTGGGGGTCATCGTAGCGGGCCCGACATGCCGCCATTAGCGCAGTCTCCCCCTGGGCATCACCCTCATTCACGTAGGCGCCACCCTCCAGAAGCAAACGGGCCAAACGTAGCTTACCCTGACCCACGGCCCGAAGAAGAGCGTGGCCCTCGGTGTGCAGCATAGCTGCGGCTGGGCCGAGGGCGCTGATGGAGCCGGGATTGGGACCTGCCGAGGATGGCTAGGGGCGTGGGGTGGTGCTTGGAAGAGGCCTGAGGGCTCAGTGGCAAAGCCGATCCCTGCGAGAAAGAGATCTTACAGATGGATTCAGATAGGGAAACCGCGGCACAGATAGAGGGACCGGGCATAGGGCAGGGGAGATCTCTACTGCACACAGTCCTTCCTAACTCATGCCTCTGAGCCGCCCCTTCCCGCCCAACGCATGCCTGAGGAGGTGGGAAGGGTGCACCCGCACTGAAGGACGAGCGCGCGTGCAAACGCATACGTGCTCGCGCGGGGATATCCGCACCCCCACCCTCACCCTACGGCTTATCAGACCTTTCCAGCACCCCCCTTTTATTATCCGCACTTGGAATACCCCTTCCTAGGGTGCTGAACGCCACCCACCCACACACATGCACCCATACATTCACACACACATTCCCATTCCTAACCTCTTTTAGGTTGCCACAGCCCCAGATACTGAGTAGGGGGAGGGAAGCAGCTTGCTTTTGGGACCTAAAGCGGGTGGGGAGAATTGGGGGTTTCTTTTGCCCCTGCTGATATGTTCCCCATCACTCTGCTCTTTCCCCTCCCAGGCTATGTGCCCAAATAGATACCTGAATGTCCGCAGAACCTCCGCTGGGCCAGGACTGAGGCCGGGGCCACGGGGCAGCTGGGGTGGGGGAGCCGGGTTCCCGGAGGCCCACATGGCGTGGGGGGGCACCCGAATCCCCTTGGTGTCAGTATCTGCGCCCCGGCGCCGGATCCTTGTCCCTCCTCCCGTTGCGCCCCGGGCACAGCGCCGATTCGGGAGGAGAAAGGCTGCGCGGTGGG